CCCACTACCAAAATCTGATGCGTGCATATGGCTCTGTGGAGAGATGTATGTCAGAAGAGAATGGTGGCTGCGTTAATCCCCATAAGTCCCTGAAACTGCTTGTCCTGCTGCCACTGCTTCCAGATCTGGCCCAGGAGGCATTGTGAGTTTGACAACCATGCCCTAAGTATTATCACTAGTTCATGATAAAGAAAATAATAATTCTTAGCACTTATAAAGTGCTTTACAATTGCAGATCTCAAACATCTTTCCAAACATTAGTAAGCACAAACTAACTCTTTTTATAGGTAAGGAATTTTAAGAACAGAGGAGTGATTCAACATTTGTCAATGGGAAACCTAATGACAGACATAGTTTTGAAAATCTGGGGTCTAAGTGAAAGGCATGGGAATCACTAAAATGTTACCTAGTGACTTGTGTCCCTGGATCAGACTCTTGGTGTTCTTTCCAAGCTTGTTCATTACATTTTCTAGTCTTTTGTCCCAGGTCAGTTGTAAATCCTCTCTTAAGACTTTTTTTTTGTGAAGCTTAGAAGAAACCAGATGATTGTTCAGAACTAGACTCTGTAGCAATTGGGAATAGGCAGATTTGTTTATTAATTTTTAAGTCTTTCACTTGATTTAGAACTGTCAAGTTATTGAAGAGTTAATCTGTGTAACTTCATGATCTCATTATTATCCTCATTTTGCCACTTCTTTTATTCTTACTTCTTCTTAGTAGGTTTATATCCCACCCTATCCAGAAAGGCTGAGAGAAGTTTACAACACACACACCCCTCCTTGCTTTACCCTAAATTAGATTATAAATTGTGAGAGCTAGAGAATGTATCTTTTGTGTATGCATCTGTTTCCATAGTTCCAGCAAAATCCCAATCTTGACTGGGGAGGAGGCCCTACCATAATATAAATTAATAATTAATAATAATGTCCCAACAATGTATTTTTCACACATTCATCAGAAAACTCTTTCAAGGCATCATACATGTTACAATTAGAAATGGCCTTGAGCCATAACATTTGGATTGTTATTATTCACAAAGTCCAGGGGTATATGTGCGTGTCAGATTTAGAAGTCTGGTTCAGGCTATCATAACGATGGAATCCAGCTGTGACATCCAGGTTCAGATCTGAACTTTCCCATATTTTGACTTTGTTCAGCTCCAGGGCTCTGACTCACACTACTGTATAGCAATGAAGTCATCCAAAACCGGGCAGACGACTTGCACAGTTACTTCTGCATTGTGGACCTGTCTCCTTCTGTCCAAATTAAAATACCAGCATACCTTTCTGATATCCCTTTGTGGATGTTCAGCTGTCTACTCAGCATCAACATGGCCAAATTGAACCATTTATCTTTCCTGACTTAAGCTCTCCTACCATTTTTAGTCACTGTGGACAACACCATTAGGGACAACATTCTGACTGTGTCTTCAGTATGCCCTTTCACTAGATCCAACACATCCAAGTTGTGTCGAAATCTCTTCTGTATATAATAGCTCTGTGATTCAACTTTTCTTCTTCAACTACATAGCAAAAGCTTTTGTCCACACCCTGGTAACCTTATGTTCCTACTACTGCAATTTCTTTTCTGATCTTTATTAAATGACATTCTTTGTTTTTTAAATCTATACAAAATATTGCTGGAAAAATCATCTTTCTGGCTGGTTTCTCTGATCAAATCAACACCCTGTGTCCCGCTAGTGGATGCCCCTTTTATGGTGCCTCAAGCTGCAGTCTCTCTTCACTTTTAAGACTCTTCATAGCCTATCCCCATCTTACCCTTCATCTCCTGTCTAGTGCACTAGAGAGACATCAGCTCCCATTTGGTATATATGTGAAGCCAGCCTTGGGTGCCTAGCTGTCAAATTTGCCCTAAATCACCTTTGAGCTTCTTCACCCCCATGTGGCCTGATATGCCTGGCACCAGCTCCCTATGACAATCCAGGAGGCCAATGTTTTTTTTCTGTTAAAAGTGCTATTTTGAAAACAAGATTCAGAATGACTAGAAAGCACTTGGAAGGCAGGATAAATATGCACCTTCACTGACCTTCACTAACTGAGAGAGGAGAGAGAAGAGAGCAAGAGAGAGCAAATGCACAACCTTTGGTGAACCCAGGTTCACTTCATTAGGTGTGATGAAAGGCTAAAGAGACATCAGCTCCCATTTGCTCTATCCACGAAGCCAGCACTGGGTGCCTAGTTGTCACGTTTGCCTCAAACCGCATTTGATCTTCTTCCCTCATGTGTGGCCTGATTTGCCTGGGAGCAGCTCCCTGTGAGAATCTGAGATGCTAAAAATTTCTTCTGCTGTTTAAAATCAACCAGGTTTGCAGCGACTACCACATGCTTGGACATGCATCTACACAGACTACATAAAGATGTGTGTGTGTGCGTGTATCCATATAGGTATCTATTCCATCCTTACAGATTTTTAATCCATGCTTAGAGATTTTTAAACCCTGGGTATAGACAGAGCTCTGGGATGATCTAATTGGGGACAGTCCTGCTTTGAGCAAGGGGTTGGATTAGACCAGCATTTCTCAACCTGTGGGTTGCATACCAGAAGTGGGTTGTAGGAATATATGAAACAGTTGTGTAGAAACTTTAAAAATGGATCAGAAAGTGTAAAAAATGGGTTCCCCTTTAAAGGAGAAAAACATGGGAAACAGGCTTTTCCCTTTCAGGCTGGCAGAGCTCCAGCCTGCAAGGGGCTGCTTGGGGGCCCAGCCCCTGTCCAACACATTGTGGGGCTGAGGCCAGTGGGCTGGGAGTGAGGGGCACCAGCATGGTCAGGGGGCTGTTTTCTACTGAAATTATTTACTGGGCTGTATTGGCCTAGGGTTGCCAACTGTGTTTAAATCTATTCTGGGAGGTTTCCGGAATGCCAATATGCGCGTGACACACAATACAAAAATGCCCGCGTGCTTGCTTGTATCAGTTACAGACTACCGTGCGTAGACTTTATGTCAGGGAGGCAAATGCACACTACTATCACATTTTAAAAACCCACTGGCCGACTGTGTAAGCCAGATGATTTATTTTCATGAATGCCCTACCATTTATCACCTGGGTGACTTTCAGCAGTCTCCTGGAGACTTCTATTTAATTCCTGGAGACTCCAGGGCAATCCTGGAGGCTTGGCAGCCCTACACTGGCCACTGATGTTTACAAATGGGTCCTGGTCCAAAAAAGGTTGAGAACCGTTGCACCAGACCTCCTGAGGTCCCATCCGAGCCTAATTTTTCTATGATTCTTGTATGTATAGAGCAGAGCTTTCCAAACTGTGTGCCGCGACACATTAGTGTGTCAGCGGCAGTGTGTAGGTGCGTCGCGCGAAATGCAGAAAATTTTGCGGAAGGGCACCGCGGAGCTCCCTTACTCGCATCTGCTTCCCTTGGCCCCTCCCCCGGAACTGAATTACTGTGTCGCGAAATGATGCACGTCTAAAAAGTGTGTCACCAACATGAAAAGTTTGGAAAGCTCTGGTATAGAGAGAGGGAGGCGGAGGCACACGCTACAGTGAACCCAAGCCTCTTCCACAAGGGCACGGGCAGGAGGCATTTCCCCCCCAGCAGCCCTGGGCCGCGGGAGGCAGCAGCGTTAGGGTGGCCATCATAGAGGACATTCCTGTTTTCTGCCACTCTGTCCTCTATTGATATGAAACCCAATGCCTTTTATGTCTTCATTTTTCTCTTCAAGAGAAAGATGTCCTTTATGTCCTCTTATCTTTCTCTTGATGAGAAAAATAGAGGACACGAAGGGGTCTGGGTTTCGTGTCAATGGAGGATGAAGGACAACCGCATCATGAACGCTGCATGTCCCCGGAGGCTGAGGGGGGCACGGCGAGCTCTCTCAGGCGGTGGCGGTGCTGTCGGCGGCGGGAGCGTGGTGGCGGTAAGCGGAGAGCTCCCACGGGCGGTCGTGGCGCTGTCAGTGGCGCCAAGTGCCGACTTGTGGTTGGCAACCACCCGCAGATGCTGTTGGCAGTGTTGCCAGCAGCCAGCGGCGATTGCGGACCTCCCGCAGACACCGCCGCCATGGGGGGGGAAGGGCAGTGGCGAGCAGCGACAGCTTTTTCGCAGGGGGTGCACCCACGCGCACCCCCTACGTGTCGCCAACCAGACCGTCCTCTACGACGGCCACCCTAAGCGGGGCGCCGCATGACTCTCTTCCAGGTTTCACCACACCACGGACGAGGTGACATCGGGGAAGGCGACCCGCACCGACCCCGACATTTGAAAACCCCACTGCGCCACCACACACATCAGAAGCAAAGGGCACGATGTTGCTCTTCCTCCCTGGCTTAGGGGTTTGTGTGCCCAGACCCGGGCCAGACAGTTGCGAGTTCAAGGCTGGGTTGTGCGCCTTCACCGCATCCACGTACAGCTTTCTTGGCAGAGCTGTTCCGGGCGGATGATCCCTCGGTGGCGGGGGCTCGGCCTCCATGCTGGCAGCACTGCCCTGCCGAGGGGCCACCCGCACGTCGGGGCGGCACGCGGGCAGGCCCGGACCGCGGCCATCGCGCCGAGCGGGGGGTTGTGGGTAGGGGAGGCCGGGGGGGTTGTGGGAGCCCGCGCTCGGCCCGGCCTCCTCCGCGGCGCTAGGCCCCGGCGCGGCCCTTCCC